TCTTTCTAGCTGTGGTGATTTATAATTTGCATCTCCTTGCCTAGTTTTAAAATTACTCTATAATGGGAATTGTCTGTTATTGTGTAAACACACGCAGGAAGTGGCCTTCTGTTCTTAATATTCCCCAAAATCTGAAATACCCAACGCGAACATCGTTGGTAAGCTACTAGTCTATAAATTTTGTGTATCTTGTCCAAATCTTTGTCATCCAGAGGCCAGTTTAATATCTTCAAGATAGCGACAAACATCTATTTTAATAATAGCCCTTCCGACAGCATGTTCGCTTTGAATTCTGCATGTGTTGACAGTGTAGTAAAGGCAGTCAAGCACTTCTCCCCTTGTGTTTCAGCCTCCTTCAATCATACATCTTATTCATCATATTCTAACGCTTTATCGTGGCAACAAAACAATTCAATATCCTTTGGCTTCAATGTGCAATGCGCCAAGCATTTTCGACCTCAAACACATGGTGATTTCCTCGTCAGACTATTCACTCTGTTCTTCGGAGTCGCTCTCGTCACCGCTATCGCTTGTTTCTAAGCCCAGTTTAGGTTCAAATTGATAAGGTAATACCTTATCTACTTGATATCGTGGATATTTTCCATCCGAGTAATCAAAAAGCGCCAAATTTCTCACTAGAAGTACGAAGTCGCAATATGCGCCTAATAAAATATATTTGTTGTTTTGATTCTACCCTGCTCTTGACGTCACACAGGTCATGTGACACAAAAGATAATTTTTTTGAAAATCGATCCAAGATGGCGGACGTACTGAATATTTACGGTGAAATAACTCGAGAACAAAACATTTTTGATGAAAACTAATAGCATATTCGTAACCAGGGGGTCCAGTTTTACCAATATCAAGAATAAAAAAATCTATTGCCATTATCCTTTAAGGAAAAAGATAAAATTTAAAATTAGGAAAATAGTTTTGAAAATTCTAAAAGTCCGATTTTGTAATTAATGACATCATAAAATGTCATAACTTGTTATCATAACACCAATAAGTGTACCATATATTTATACACAAGGCATATCATCTACCTGTAAAAATATCGTGGGAAAACACCAAATTGTTCAGGAGATATTGACTGCGGGCACTTTCCGTCTCCTTCCCCTTCCCCAGACGTAGAAGACCAAAAAGAACCAGTCTGGATATATAGAGTTAATTTATGCAAACAAGCAACAGATGTGTCGTGTATGAGGGCAATTGCAAGCTTTTTGGCTGACAGTGCATGCATATAGATTCTACGACTTGGAGGAATCGACCTTCAATCTACGATGTGTACTAGGGGTTACCATGAGAATAATGAGTTCCTTTTCAGATAGCCCTGCTGACATAACGAGAAAGATGGCGGTGTATTTTATCTAATATTCGTAGAAATCACAATAACTTTTCACGTTAAGTTTTTAATTAGCTTGAATTTTTGTCCAATTTTTCTCAGATGACCCAGGAGAACCAGGCCTACAAATGCGTGCGCAGTAACTCTGTGATTTCATTTTCATTTATTATCCTTCAACATTTTACAGAGGACTAAGAACTGACTACAAAAAATAAATTAGAGACTTTCCCAAAGGCTTATAATTTAGCTGAATAAAGTTTTTTCTTCCAAGTGCGATGGTTTTTCTTTCGTCCGAACAATGAACAATTGAACAAAACATGTTTTCGCTCGCTTCTCTGGTTTAAATAAATTATTACAAAGCCCTGTCGAATTGTAATCAAGACCAAACGTTTCGACACTCCAGCCTATAGTATCTTCATCAGGGGTGATCCAAAGTTGCAATGTGACTTCTCATGTACCAAAGGGATGACGTCATCTACCAATAAGATGCATGTATTCCTCTGGCAAATAGGCAATTCCAGCTTTTTGTTTATGTATGCAGGGGACGATGGGAAGTAAGGTATCACATTGCTCATTATGCGGAAAAATAAAAATGGTGGCCGTGTAAACACGGAGTGATAGCTTATACTTGTAAATATTGCAATATTTCGGTTGTTTCGGTAGTTTTTATTGTAATTTTTCAACATAATCAGTAATATGATACCTTACTTCCCATCATCCCCTGCAGGCATAATCTAAAAGCTGAAATTGCCTATAGGCAGCGTCATCCTTATTTAAAGCATACATGATTACTCACATTTATATGCCACGCTTTTAGGCACAGTTTTTGTCCATAGAGATTGTTTGTGGTAATTACTTTAGAATTTTCCCACGCAATCTTGTGTTTGTGTCACACACATATTCTGCTAAAGCTAATTCTCCCTTAAGATTACGGATCAAAAGCTTTGCAGTAATAAATTTACGTGGTGTTTCCACAAACAAAACTATTATAATCCTTCCTTGTTTAAAGTTGAAACATCCCTTTGATGTTCTTTTAGCCGTGTACCAAACTGGCGTTTATAGAATGACCCAAATACTCTTTGTCGCAATCACCGAGCATGCATGGTATGGAATATACAGCATGAGTTTTTTTATTTGTTTTAACAGCACCATTCTTTCCGCTTTGCAAAAATATGGCCTAAAGTCAAATAGGGTTTTAAGTTTCCTTGTTTACAAAAATCCCGGTTGATGAATTGCCATCAAGGTTGCGACAAATAGACTAACATCTGTGAGCGACTATATTCTAAAAGCTCACTGACGCGCACACTCAAAGAGTGGAGATTCGATCTGAGCTTTCTTTGATAGTCAGTGCTGTTTTTGAACAGTTGAAAAACAACATTGAAAAACAACATTGAAAAATAACATTGAAAAACAACATTGAAAAACAATATTGACAATTAAGGCAAGCTCGGATTGAACTTCTACTCTTTGAGTAAACTTTTAGAATACAGGCGTAAGACAGGATGCCACTTTGTTACAATGAGCATCCTTGCCTGTAGAAGATATTATTGCCTGTAGAAGATATATATAAATATCTTGCCTGTAGAAGATATATATAACACCACATACCTTGTGTTTGATGGCAGTTATTATCTACAGGTTTTTGGAACAGCGATGGGATCACCAGTATCGGTAGAAATTGCTAATTTAATAATGGAAGTCGAACAAAGAGCTTTAGCCTCTGTTCTGGTATTTCTATCGTTTTGGAAACGTTTCTTCGATGATGTCATATCTGCGGCTTATAGAAATGAAATCGATATTCCGCTGCAACATAAATGGACTTTCAGCTTCTTTAGATTTGAATGTTCACAGAACTGTCGAAAGGAAGTTAGAGACTGATGTTTAAATTAACACAAACTCATACACCGTGCACAGACAAATATTTGTCGTACGACTCTCATGACGGCCAGTAAGCCATAAAAGATCCGTAGCAAAAACTTTGCTTCAAAGAGCTGAAACCTTGCCGTCAAACAGTAATTCTCATGCTAATGAACTTGAATAATTATGCACTAAATGTTTTGGGGGAAAACGATTGCCAAAAACATGTTCTCAATGATTGCATGAGATCTGTTTGTAGGAACCAAAATTACTCCGAGGGTGATACCTCTGTTAGTCAAAGGTTATGCAATAGTTCCATACATTCGAGGTGTCACAGAGCCAATCAAGAGAAGGAAAAATCAGCTTTAGCGGAACATGTGTATGACACCAAACACAAGATTACGTTGGAAAATTGTAAAGTAATTACCACAAATATATCGCTATGGTCAAAAACTATGCCTAGAAGCGTGGCATATAAATATGAGTAATCTTGCTTTAAATATAGATAACGGTGGCCATTTGCCAGAGGAATACACGCATCTTGTTGGCAGGTGACGTCTTCCTTTGTGTATTTAAAAAGATACGATTGCAACTTTAGATCACCTCTGATGAAGACACTGGACTGGAGTGTCGAAACGTTTGGTCTTGATTACACTATTCGACTGGGCTTTGTATTCATTTATTTAAACCAAAGTAGAAAGCGAAAACATGATTGATATAACTGGGTGCAGTGAACGAACAAACTTTATATTGAACAAAACCTTAACAATTAAGTGGGTAATAATTATGGACATAACTAATTTAGCATACTTTGTACTATCATTGAACAAATTTGGGCTAAATTTGTTAAAAACATTTAAAATTTAATTTTTTAGAATATAGGCGACGTGCCAAGTATAGCCTTAATTTAATACAAAAATGTACTTTTGTTCGGTAGTTTTTAATCGACTCGTATATTTGGAATGATACATAAGACGTATACTTCAAAGGCTAAACACCAATCTTTATGAAATAATAGAACTCAATTCACCAATGCACCTTCGAACGCACACGAAGGGCGCGGTGAATTTAGACTACTTTTGTTTACATAAATGTAATAACTAATTGCACTTTTTGTTAAAACAGATGGCATCCAACCTGTGATATTTATGGAATTCCATCCAAGTGCAGTAACAACAGTGGGATCTAATATCCAACTATATTGCAACGCGTCGGTAGTCGGACTGACTAATCCGCGCACACATGATAGTATTTCTCTTCGTATTGTTAATGACAGAAATGAGAAACTTAACGAATCTACCACCCAAGATAGAACGGTAGAATGTACATTTGATATCAAGACCGTCACTCATTCGGATGCTAGGTTATATGTATGTTTGGCCAAGCTAAGTCAAGGTACTCAAGGATGCTCAAGAAAGACCAGGACACTAATAGTTAAAGGTAAATTCTCTTCCATAGCTGAAAATTAAATTTTTATCTTCTTAAATCCGAAACCATGCGTGTCCTTAACTATAATGGGCCTTCTGATTGTCTCATTTATATCGCGTGACACAAGGACATAACTCTCAGCCTCTGGTTTGCGCCCATATATGAACAAGGAAGTTAGTCAATTAAGAAAAGTTTTCAAAACCGAAAGATTGCTCGAAAATTGTAAAACTTATATGTAAATGTTGCTTTCCAGTAAAGCGTTTTAATTTCGCACGTTCGTACACGTAGCTACGGAAAAGTTTAAAATATGATATTCAATTAACGAGGGACTTATGAAATAATTAGTATAGCAGGTTTGGTAGTAGGATGGTTTACATGCACAAAGGGATAACGTTTTTCAAAGAGCATCAAAATATCACGAGTTCGAAGGAAGAATGAGTTCTATTTGAGGTCTTTGAAAAACTTGCGGGTGCTTGTTTCATCCAAATTCAAGAGAAACTGTCTATTACGTATCAATAATATACATAAAAATGTTCGAAACAATTGTAGTTTTAACTTATGTTCATAAGGCGAACAGTCAACTGGTAAAACTTTCCTGCCTTGTTATGCCACAACACACAATGGTAACGGTTTGAAAATTTCACTCCATTATGTCAATTTTGTTATTCAAGATTTTTAAGGTACCTCTTTTCCATTTTAAAAAGAGATGAATGTCATATTTTTCACCCGAACTCAACTTCTAATATATGTAGCTGGGTCACTTTTGACGGTGACTTGAAAACTGCTTTAAACTGATTATTTTTTTGAACAATCAGATCAGTTTACAGAATTATGCGCCGCTGTACATGTTCGAGATTAACTGCACTGAAATCAACGAATCATATTCGAGTAATATACTTTTGTATATTATTAAAATAAAAGGACATAATTTAATAGTTGTAATAATAAATGTTGCGTGACGTAAAATGTATTTGTTGAGGTAATTAGTACTTAAAATTCTTCCGTGCGTAAATTAGAGGTGCCTATGAAAAACGCTTAACTGCATGGAAAACAGTCTTAAGACGAAGAAAAAGAAGTATTTATTTATTCCTTTCCATAGTCGGTTTACATATTAAATTTTAATTTTGTAGGGTTTCTGGCCATCAGAAATAACCATAGATGGTTAAAAATGCCTATAGCGCCCAGACGAATGAAATTGTCCAAGAATAAATAATTAATTGCAGATGGTCACAAAACAATACACACATATAGTCACACAAAACAAAAGGAAACACAAAAAAAAACATCACAAAGTTGTAGATTATCATTCAATACTGCATTTGCAAAATCAAGACCAAGATATGAACATGGAGGATCTGTAGTCTGTAAATGACGGAGCGTTAATTCGTAGTGTACAGTTGAACTTGAGAGGAGTTACCTGTCTTATATATTTATGCATTCAAATGAATTGGACAAATTGAATAACTTGAAATGTAAAAAATAAATTTTCAATGATTTAGCTGTTTGATCCTGACCTTTTTATGCATATCCAACTAAATTCAGTAAAATTTTGTTATATTGGTTATAGATTGCACAGACAACAAAGGTGACAAATTTCATGTTAATGCTGTTCTCACCGAAAGAATGACTATCTCATATCAATGGAAATATCAGGTGGAAATCTGCGACCAATCATATCGTGTATTTTGGTCAAATCAAGGACCAGTTGATTTAAATTCAAGTTCATTGATGTTACCTCTAAACGTCACATCCTACGAAATTACAGATTTGGGTAAGAAAAGGTTTGGACTACGATTGACCATGTCTGCGTTTTTTTTTCAAGAAAGCCTTGTTACAGTATTAGATAATTTTGTATATTGATGTAATATTGATCATACATATTTATAGAACCAAATTCCAGACGTGAATACTGGGTTGGAATGGCTGTTCAAACAAGCAAAGGGCTTTCAAGAATATACAGAGTTAGAAAGTCTTTTGGCCCAAGTAAGGCATGTTGAATTGTTAATCATCATATTATCAATTTAGTTGTAACATGCATTTGACTGCTATTAATTAGTTGGTCAATATTCTTGAAAAGGTTAAGTAATAAGATAAGTGATTGTATATTATAATCAAGAAACGGTATACCGTGTCAGAAATAAATAATATTATTATATATCAATAGTCAAAGTCGCATTTTTCTAGTGTTTTATCGGTTGAGAGCATATCACGTGAGAGTGACGAAATTAGGCAGTCTCCCTCGCAACAGCGCGAGAGGGGGATAATACGTTATCGACCGGCGAATAACAAAAAAAATCACGTGCGCCATCACGTGAAGATGTGACCTTTGGACATGCCTAGTACGTAATTAAAACTTTCGCTTTAAGTAACTGCAGTGTAGCCAGTTTTTAATATAACGTTTCAACAACAAAATATTTCATGTATTTACGTTCATTTGCTCTTTAATTTGTTGTTTCTTTGACTATTGATATATAATAAAACAATTATTACTGAGACCAAGGGAAAGCAGCCCTCTTCTTCGCCTCGAGAAACATCTATGGTCTCGGGTCCACAAAACACACTGTTTCCCTCGGTCTCAGTAAATAATTGATAAGTATTAGTGATACTTTGTGTTACAAAATTATTTTACCTTGGGTTCACATATATTTCAGTGTTTCACACTGTCTAAAGGTAGAAGCTTGGCTCTATACTCGAAGTCGTCAAGAAAAAGAGAAGACCTTTTTTATACAGCTTTTCGACTTCATCTATTTGCAGTTTGTACGAGCAATAAAGATGGACGCTTCTCTATGAATGGCAGTATTACAAAAAACAACACCATTTCCATTAATTGGAATTACGAGCCAGAAAGTTGTGATGAAAGTTTCGCTATATATTGGTCAAGAAATGGTCCAATATCAAAGTTTTCACAACCACAGCAGTTTGTCAAAAACACAAACATCACTTCGTTTGAGACCAAAGAATTAGGTAATGGTAAAATGACTTTTCAAGAAGATAATTATTATATATTTAAAAAATAGTACCAGAAACAGTGGCTGCATGTTCATTATACAGAAAGTCTACCCTGGTTCCAGTACTCTCGTTTCTTTCTCCGCGCAATGTTCCTCTGGAACCAGCGTACAGAAAGCCCCGTTTTCTGTTTGAAATGGATCTGGTATTTACACACAAAATTCATTATCAAATCATTATTATTCAATTAATTATAGAAAACCTTGGTGGTGTTACGAACATTTTACGAGCTCTGAACTTAGTGATATTGTGTTGACAATTTCATGCAATGTCATAAAACCTGATTAGCGCTAGCTGTTAGAATAAGCTCTTACGAGTACATCGCATTATTGTAAAATCCATGGGAATTTCTTTCTAATGAAGTGAGCTTTTATTGCTATATTTTGCATGAATTTTCTTTATTAGAATCAGATACTCAATACTGGATCGGCATGGCCGTGATTACAACAAACGGGAGTTCGAAAATATATGTGTATAATGGGACATTAATAACGGGTAAGTTTCCAAATAAATATAACTACACATAAAACTTACAATTTTAATTTTTCTTTTTCGCTTTTACAACACAACCGTCATGCTTGTAGATGAAACTTCCAAGAATGCGATACGATACGAGACAACACACACAAAAGTGACAAAACAAAACAAAACAAAACGACACAACACAACACAACACAACGCAACGCGACGCGACGCGAAAAAACAGACGCACAATAAAATTAAAGAGGAAAGAATAGAATGGAGTGGAGTGAAGAAGAGTAGAATAGATTATGTTTTTCTTAGGTAGTATCTCTAATAGGGTTTTTCATTAACTTTGTTTTTAGCAGCAATTGATGACGCCGGTGATCCTGGTAAAGACAGTCGCAAAGAGAATGACCTAACAACGCCTGTCGTAATATTCATTATTTTAATTATTTGCTTGCTTGGCATTGCCTGTACGGTTTTCTTGGTGGTCAAAAAACGAAGACGAAAGTCGCATGATTCTGTAGGTGTACATAGTTATTGTTATTGTAGTGAAAATCTGGAATTTAATAATTTGGTTGCACATGCGCATGCGTGTGACGCAGAACAAGATTTTCAAATTATTTCGATATTTGTGCACCATGCATTATGTCATTAACATTATGTCTTTGCGCCTCTAGATACCGGTTGTTCAAATGACAAACGGAGCAGCTCAGAACCTTGACATACTTTATCCTGAAACAGAAAGCACAGGAATAGTCAACGTACCACCTTTATCCCCCAAAACCCTGCTTGATGACGTATTTGAAGAAAATGAAGAAATTGGTGAAACTGAGAAAACCGATGCAGGTATACATTAACTGGTAGAGAGGGAGGAAAGCTAGAATGTTCATGATTTTCCAATTAGACCATAATTACATGCAAAAGTAATCACTCTACTATACGTTCACAAAACTAACGTTTTATCTCAATTTTGAAACGTTTGTATTGCAAATGTGAAGCAATATTGAAAGATTGAGGTTGATCAGAAATCAGAAGAGCCCATTTTGACGAATTTAGATTTGAATGTCGTATACATTAAGTTTCAATTTGCATCATGTACATCCAAATGCACTCAATTTTGAGATTCAACCGTTATATTAATACCTGTGGCGGGGAAGGGAGTTTTCTCGCACCACACGTAAGGCGGATTTCCAGTCCTCGCACGAAGCTCCTCGCAGACGTTCTGCGAGTGTTTTGCCGCTCGCAGGAAATAGTTCAAAATTTTGAACTATTTTTACTCACTGCGAGAGGTCGCAATAATAAACCAATCATAAAACAGCTTACAATCACATGATAATTTGTTTTCAAAATGGCAGCTAGATGGAGTGATGAAAATATAGAAATTTTAGTAGTTTTCTGTATTCGACTTATGAATTAGTGGCTTTACCAAATTGTGTAGGTAATCAAATTGGTTTGGTAACATCCTGAAATAATTGAAGTAGCCTTCGTGGTCTTCCTCCCCTAATTCTTTAAATATTGTAAAAAATTCACTTAATTGTGCTCACGTTTGGAATATTGGTCTTACCCAAAACCGTCGACTTCGCAATATCAACGTACAAAATGAACTCTTCCCGTCACTACCTAGCCTGCGAACGGGCATGCCATGATTACGAGATTGGCGTGTGGTGGAAACGGAATGACATTGGTGCATGCGAGTACTCGCAGCCAGTTGCGAGGAGCTTTGTGCGAGGACTGGAAATCCGCCTTTAGACCAGCAGAAAAGCCAGGTGCCCCAATTTTATTACATTATTGCAGGCGTTATTTATCCAATTTAACATAAAATGTATACAAGATATACGCAATCGTAGTCGTTCCAATATTGCTAAAGTATAAATACAGAGCGTATATATCTTTTAGCGCAATGGACAAAACTACTATACTAATCTTGTGCAACATTTCATTATAATTATGCAATCGGAATGTTTCTGAATAGTATTCGGCTTCCAATTACCCTGCTTGCGAGAGGTTCTCGTATATTTCGCCTTACTCCCGCTCGTATATATTTTTCGGGAGGCGAGGAGAACGTCTGGTGCACGCGATATGAATCTCATTTCCTTTGGTAGAATCTTTGTACCACGCACATGATTGGTTAGTCATAATTAGCAGTCACATGAAGTGATGTGATTGGCTAGACAAAATGATTTGTTTATAATCGCAGAGCACGATGTAAACAAAATACAAAAATAATACAAACGTATTAAAATGCTTTTATACTTGGCGTGGGTTATTCGAAATTAACTTTGTTTGTTCCACTAAGAAGTTAAAAAGATTTTCTGCGCTGGAGAAGAGCTGCCATCGCGGCATGACTTGATTTGACGGCATGAAATGTTCACTCTATTAATATTTGTAAAATATAAATTATTGCTCACTTGCTTTAATTAATATATATCGTTCAAGGTTTTAAATTTGGGTAATTCTTTGACTTTAATATATCGTTATTAATACGATTTATTTTGCCAATATTTTCCCACCGTTGTCCTTTAAGGACAACCATGCATACTGGCTCCGTTGCACGTATAGAAATTAGATATAAATATTATTCTTTCACTTTTGACTTAATTTATTTAGCTTAACTTTTGACTTACTTATTTAGTGCTTATTTTTAATATTTTAAATCGCCTGAATAGAGTTATTTTGGTAGTATGACAAACTCGGAAATTTAAAACACGTCACAATTTAAAACCGGTTTTGCAAGTTCTCAAACGGCAACTCAGCATGCAAGTGAGATTTATATCGCGTGCCACCAGAGGTTCTCTTCGCCTCGCGTAAAATAAGTACGAGCGGGAATAAGGCAATAGATACGAGAACCTCTGGCAACCAGGGTAGCTTCCAAGGAGAGCTTATTTTATCGACTTTACTTTTTTGTGGCTCCCTGGAGAGTCTCACCTTCCTTGCGTTATTAGAGAATTTACGATTCACGACGCGGCTAGAGAAGCGCGTATTGAAAGTTTGGTAACTAGCGCGGCCAACGCGCGTCTTGTGTAATTCCAACGCGTAGTCCATGATTCTGCGACGGAACTTTGTCAATTTGACGTTGTGATCACCACCCTGCGAATTTCAAGTGAGTATCGAATACTTTTATATTGAAAACGCGATTTGAAGTTCTTAACATTTTATTTTTGATGAAGTAGTACGATTACAGTTTTGGTGGTGTTTAAACAAAAATTCTCCATAATTTTCCCGCCAAAAAAAAATTTTACGTCAGCGCGTTGTGTTTCGTAACGTAGAGAACAGAATAAGACGACCAAGCCTTTCTAACGCTTTTCTCTCGCCGCGTCGTGGATCGTAAACGTACTCTATTCTTCGCCACGACGTGTGAACTCAGAAATCAGCAAGCTGGAAGTATTGAAGAAAAAAATTTTATTTCATTTATTTATATGCCATCATTATATGTATACAGTGACTGACTGGTAAACCACAACAGCTATTGCCAATACTGTTGCCCGAATACGGTACAGATTAAACAATTTACAAAGTACAGTTACTACAAACACAACACACAATACTTGGACAATAGTCATTACATAAAGTCTGGAAACAACATGCCAGATCTTCAGACTGCGAGTGAAATTTGATGCACACTCTTTTCCATGTGCGGGATCCTCAACGTTGTATCGTAGTTTCAAATGCTACAATGTCGGAATGTAATATAATGAGTTCCATATTCTGGTTGCTCGGATCTTGTACTCGGATTTTGTACTCTTTATCTTCTTGTAGCGTCTGAATACCTGACAGTTCTTGATGAATGGGAGATATCTCGTGATCAACTTTCCGTGACCAGCATGGGGCTTGGTTCTGGCCAATTTGGAATTGTAAAGAAAGGAACATTTCGCACACATGATGAAAATGGAGAAGATATTGATCTTCCTGTTGCAGTGAAAACTCTTAAAGGTTATCAATATTCCTTTATAGCGGTATAAAAATGAGTCGGGAAGAGGAGTCAGTTTCTAATGTGCATGTGAATGAGTCTTTGCCTATTGTGACCTGAATACAATAATTAAGATCTATTATGTATACTATGCTGAAAAAAAAGTCCCCATTAAGTACATGTATTTTTCCTTAAACAATGGACCTTTCACCTTTTGACTAAAATTTAGATTTCAACAAGTCTAGACAAAAATTTTATCACAGCTTGAAAGAGCATCACAAAATTAGTAATATTCCGAAGTTTCGTTGCGAAATGTTGTAAAATGTGGATAATATAGCCTTGCGAAGTTTGTAATTTTCAGTCATTTTGTATTACAAACGGGAAATACATACCCTTTTTCCGAAGGAGGTATGTATTTCCCGCGCGTAATACAAAATGACTGAAAATGGCAAACTTCGCAAGGCTATATTATCCGCATTTTACAACATTTCGCAACGAAACTTTGGAATATTACTAATTTTGTGATGCTCTTTCAAGCTGTGATAAAATTTTTGTCTAGACTTGTTGAAATCTAAATTTTAGTCAAAAGGTGAAAGGTCCATTGGAACATTCATACTTATACAACTCCAAAGCAACCAGCCCATCCAATTGTTTAAACTTTAATTTAAATATCAATAAAATTGAAATAACGTGTAACTCTTATAACATATTTCTTCTTTCAACAGACAAGGCAACGGAAATAGATCGTTCAGATATAGTAACGGAGCTACGCATATTAAAATTCGTCAACACACTCCCACACCCAAATATACTGAAACTAATTGGCGCTTGCACTTCTGAACGTAAGTAGTTGCAAACTATTGTATATCGTAATTTTTGTTGAGATATTCGACTATATTTTCGGTTATGCCGAAGTAATTAATTTTATCGTTTTTTACAACGCCTCGAGATATGTCTTGGAGGGATTCCTCTCTCCAACGTCTTCTTGGAAGTAGTTGCAGCAAAAATCGTTGCATGCGCCAATACAAAGCTAGAATGGTTCGTCACCTTGTGCAAAATTTTTGGGAGCTCAAGATTCACCAGTACATTTCGTTGATTGCTTTGCAAAAAGAGGTTTGAATTTAAGATATGAATCGTTTTAGGATAACCAATAATTATTGCTTAATTAAAATGTCTATTTCGTTTATACAGCAGCTACTGTATTTTAGTTTTCCTCTTTGAATACTTTTCCTCTGTATTGATTTATACGCGCTTGACGTTTCGTACACATGGATGTCACATCAACATCATCAACAGCCGTTTATTATCCACCTGAGGTTGGTTGTTCAAGGCTGGGTTCTTTTAACCCTAGTTTAAATTAAAATTTAAAGCAAACTTCTTCACAGCTTGTCTATAAATTTGGAAATATTTCGTCAGAGTTCTTGTCTGGATCGATAGGAGATTACTTCCCTGAAGTTTTGAAATAAACAGATGTCATGCAGAAATGCACAAATTAAAACTGAGCAGGATAAATTTTAACCCTGGGTTAGCGCTAGCTCACATTTGAACAACCGCCCCCTGGAGATTAGAAAAGAATAGAGGCGGTATTGCGGGATAAACTCATACGGAAGGGTTGAATTGAAGCTTCCTAATGGAGTTTGGATTCAAATCCAGTGCGGGTATATAATATGGCACGGCTGTAAAATCCAACACCTATTTGTTTTCATTGTAACTTCCTTAGCAACATCGCCTTGACGATAACATGCAAACAGTAGTCATCCCCGTTAAGAGGCAGGCAAGTTATGCCCGAGAAACAAGCTGCGTTTCAGGTCATTTCGAATATTGAACAGTACGCCTGTGTGATGATTTACATCATAGATTCATGTCAAATAGTAGGGCAGTATATCTTCATGCGAAAAAATTCATTGGGTTGCTACATTATGTATTCTCACGGCCGCATTGCTCTTTGTATTCTTTTATAATGTTAAATAGTAATGTACAGGGCTTGGGTTGATAGGGATGGAACTGCCTGAAAAAGACAAAAAGAACTTCTACGTTTCGAGCGAAGGTCCTCCATCTGGAAGTTAGTTCGAAGCTAATGGTCATGTACAGGTTCTTAACCACAACAGCCTTGCTCCAACATGCATAAATCTCGTCAGTCTGCTTAATCGTTGGGCTAAACACGTTGTTGGATTGTTTTTTATCTTGCAGAACCAATTTCAGTAGTAACAGAGTATTGCGCAAGAGGAAACTTAAAACATGTTTTAAAAAAGTACGGTGAAATACTAAATGGAACTATTCCTGCAAAATCTGAACCAAAGTTAACAAACGACCAACTGCTTAGTATGTCTGTAGATGTGGCATGTGCTATGAAACACTTAGTAGCGATGAAGGTAAGAAAAGAACCAGTGCGGGGAATGATAAATTTGGTGAATCGTCCTAATTTATTCAAAAGATGAGAGGTTTGGCAACCCATTCTTAACTCAAAGTTCAGCAAAGTGGTTCATGCACTAATGTTTCTCCGTGGTGTTATTTGCAACGATTTTTCCTTTCTTTTGCGATAGTTTGTTCACCGTGATCTTGCTGCTAGAAATATATTAGTCACAGAATCATGGGTTGCAAAAATATCTGACTTTGGCCTAGCAAGAGAAACATCAATTGACGGAGAATATGTCAAGAATCGCAGGGTAGGATTAAACATTATAATTTATATACTGTATATGATAAAAAAATTGCTTTTAATTTCATGCAGTTCAATAGAGTCATTATCACAGTTCAATTGTTCACCTTAAACCCACTAAGATTTCATTTACGAATATTTTTAACCTAAGCTTCTGTAACACGAACATTTTCATTTGAAGGATCCCGGATGAGCAATTCTAACCATACCTTAAAATAGGTGCTTACCCTGGTTCCAAAGGCTCTTTGCTAGGCGAAAGAAACTAGAGGTGAGAAGGAAGATCCTCTGGTCACATCGGTTGCCAATTCCACTTCCACACTTGATTAGGTTCAGAATTTGAATCTCGCATGTGATTGGCCATTTTTAAAAATATGTCAACCTGGTTTGGGAAATAAACAAGCTAATTATAGCTTCTGTAGCTATAATTAGCTTACAGTAATGTTGGTCTCTCAAACCGGTTTGACATATTTTTACAAATGACCAATCACATGCGAGATTCAAATTCTGAACCTACCCAAGTGTGAATGGAAGTGGGATTTGGAACCAATGTGACCTTTCGCCTCGCAAAGAGCCTCGATCTGCATGAACCAGGGTAAATCGGTGCATAATCGAGTGGATTTTGGACTACTGGTCTCATTCTACGTGGGTCATGTTGTGGAAGGGCATATAATATTAGTCCCCAAATTGGAAAGGAAATAATGTACTAGGAACGAGCATCTACCTCTACATAAATCTGTACCGTAGTATGAAATTTAAGTTACAGGTGTGGACCAATTAATATAGATTTCATACATTTCCTTCTAATTGAAACGTCTTTTTTTAAAGAATTTATTACCAGTCAAATGGACAGCAATCGAAGCACTAGTTGAGGGAAAATTCACTTCCGCAAGTGATGTGTGAGTATAGTTATTGTAATCAATAATATGATAATACATGAGGAATTTACCATTTGGATACGCCGTCCAGGCAGGTGGTCGATAGTATCATCAAATTGCTACTTTTAGACCGATGTAAGAGCGCGTTTTGACTGTTATCAATTGCAGGTTTGGCAGAGTTGTTTAAGGCGACCAAGTGCATACATGATTGTTAAAAAAAATTAAATCTGGCCCAAGTTAAATTCATTGAAATTACCAAACACTGCAATTAAAAAGTTAAAAAGCTAAGAATCCTAAATTTTCGATTGCTAACTGCTACCTTCGTCAGAGTAATTTGAAAAACACGATCGGATCAAACGCTTAATGCCTTCGGGTCTTACCCCGTGCGCTGGTTGAGAGCAAGCTCGTGTGTATAAATGAGACGATAAAAAGTAAAATTGTAAGATAGTATACGTATAAAAATTTAAAAAAAAATTGTACACGCAGAAAATGCGTTTATGCACCTCTCCCTCTCACTCCGCTTTTTCTATCTTACCTCTTCTGTCATGTATGCTAACCTAGAAGGAGAATTGGGTATATTCATGAGTTCGTTGGTCAATAATTAAACTATCCTTTAATTTCTAGGTGGAGCTACGGTGTTGTTTTGTGGGAAATAGCAAATATCGGTAATTAATTTTAAGACGAATTAATTGAACATTAATCCTTCCTTTCCTGGAATGTAATAATGCAAAGTCATTTTAAGAAGTCTCGCGTTTTGCTGTATTTCTCTCATCTCACGTTTTGCTGTATTTTTTACATCATCTTTATCGTTTTCCCATTTTTTTATAAATGAGATATTTTCTTCATCCATGCAGGTGGAACACCGTATAAAGGAATTTCACCACACGACATAATGTCGCATGTTGGTTCTGGTGGTCGATTGGGCAAACCGGATCGTTGTTCACCTTACCTGTGAGTAGGATCAGTCACTTATTTAAGAGACCTAAAGTCCAATACAGAACTGCCATAGAAAATAACTAATTTTTGCTGAGAATCAGTAACATGTGCTCTAACACTAAAAATATTTCAGTAACGGTTATTTTCCTTTCCCCTAACATTTTGTATAAGTTATATTACTTGGATTACATATGTTTCTCCAAACTAAATAATTTCCATAATTCGTGGGGAAACTGCTGTAACCGTTTTCAAGTACTTAATCCATGTTTTTTGTTATGGTGCATGACCAACTCAGCTACAAGGTCATGTCGAAAATGTGTTATCATATGCGTACAGTATATTAATAATAACAATATATTGATTCATGCATGTATTGCTATATTAAGGAATTCGAAGTATTGTCAGTAATTGTAATATAGTCCTATAATAATATTAAGAAATCAAAATATTTTGCAATCTTGTTTGTTGGCTGGATCATAGTACAATATTATACGTCAACTTAAAATTGTTCAACCAGAAAGCTCAGTTTGTGGCACATGAGCATGAAGTTAATCGCGATATCACGCCTTACGTCATCAATTGGCGAGCCTGCGTTCCTTTTGACAATGTTTCACCTCGTGTTCCCGGGGAACATGGGGTTGAACATTATTCGACGTAGACCATGCGAGACAACACGCATGACAACAAGATGGTCGATAAAATAATAGTAAGGGGTGATGAATACTTAAACTAAAAAAACCCTGGTTTTTTGAAAAGTTTTGTCATTAATATTCCAAACGATATGTGATTTGAAAGAAAAGCGACGATACTTGCGTTAATCCTAAAATAAAACATCGTATTCACGAAAGTAAGTGTCAAGTTTAACTTCTCAACTTGGAGGCTTTTAATTTTCGGTATAATATATCATTTACAGACCTTCTGCTCGGGGGATTCGGCGAAATATTACGTACCCTCAGTGATGATATTTCGCTCGGGCCAAAGCCCCTTTGGAAATATCATCACTTCGGTAATATATCTCCGAATTTTCCTCGCTCCAGGTCTAGAGTAGATCTGTAAATTATAGATAAAAGTGCACTGGTTATTAATTCAATGTCCATTATTACTAATATCTATTAAAAATTATTTTAATTTATAGGTTCTCAATTATGTCAGAATGCTGGGAAACTTTACCAGAAAAGCGACCTACTTTTACAACTTTGCATCAAAAACTGTCTGCTATGTTAGAAGAAGAGGTATAATGGTGATATATGTAACACTATATTGTTTTTAAAAATATAATTTGTATCAAATGCATACGAGACATACAAAATTAGCATACATCTTCAAATGTTTTGGATATGAATTTCTGGAGAAATATTTGACTTGTATAACACAATAACTAAGGAGTTCGGATTTCTTATAAAAGTACTCAACCTTAGAGTGGCAACAATAAAGTCACATCATGGCGGATATTTTATGTTTAAAATAATTTAACTAGAAAAAAACTTGACCTTCATTTTTTATTTCATAAAATGATTTCTATTGGTATTTTGAATTAATTTTATGATTTAACAAAAAAATCTATAATGCCAAAAGAAAAATTATTACGAATTTTCACATTTTCGTATCTTGAAAAATTTCGGCATACCAACAGAAATCATTTTATCATTCAACATACCAACAGAAATCATTTTATGAAACAAAAAATGGGGCCATCGAAGTATTTTTCGAGTTTAATTACTTTAAAAATAAAATATCCGCCATGTTGTGATGTCATTGCTGCCATGGCAACGGCTATTAGAAGTAGCTTTCGAAAAATTACGAACTCTTTAGTTAGTGTTGTCTGCTAGTTAGATACTCTTCGCTTTTACACATGTAATAATTGTCCAGAGAATCATATCCTACTCCGAAAATCTTTAATATTAATTTAAAAAAGTGTATAGGGAACCACCTTAATTTAATAGTTCAAAAGTTCATTTGCATAACTTCTTCCCTTCTAGACAACATACATCAATGTTGGGTTCCTGAGTGACGGTGGCAAGGATAACAATGGATATTATGAAAGATATACAACAGCCTGACAATAATAAAAGTAATTATATAAGAGAAATAAGAATCAAACATCAATTGAAGAACAGAATGAGTCTGTTTTTAGCTTAGATTGATTTACATTTGTTTCAATTAAAAATAATAAGAATTTATTGCTAAAATATAATACTAAAATTAATTTACGGAACATAAGTCGATACGTTTGTCTGGGAGACCGACTCGTGCGTAACCTGCCGTCCTTCATGGAAAATGTTTATACCGAGAGACTCGACTTGTCGCTATTGCAGGGAATTTCGTAGACTTGCTACAAGTCGACCATGGGGAGGGAGGGCGCGAAATCGACGGAAATGTGAAAGAAATTTAAATGAATCTTCATAATCTGAGTATCGAAGTTCAATAGAGTCATTTTTATAAAGAAATGTTACAATTAAGAGGATATTTATAATTAGATAGCTCGTGTCCATTGATATTCGTTTGCAATTCCTCAATATTTTTCGATGCAAATGGACAGAAGAAGATATTGATATTGAATTCACTCCAGGATACTCAAGTACGCCTGAAAATGAAAGTCGAAAACATGTTTTAATACCCCCGATGGTTGATCGAACTTCGCCACAAACGATTATATACGACGCCATATTGATTGCATTAACTCGCAGAGGCTTCCTTTATTTAGCTCTTCCCATCACTCCTTGCGCGCTCACTTTTCCCTCACTAGAAACTTCGTATAAGCCTCTGCGGAAGAGAGAGCACCAAGTGTGGAAACGAAATAACTGATCGAAGTAAGCGACGAAAGCTGTTCAATATATCAACAAAAACAAGTGCATGTAAAAACTTATTGAATCTGGACAGTAGTTTGTCAAACAATGCGTGCCGTAATTATGCCGACAAGAATAGTAATTTATTAAACTTATTATAGAAAGTTGATTCAGTTCGCCAGCGATTTAATTAACGTAGTAGAAGTTAATCTATAAATTGAAAAGAATCAGACAACTGTAACCAATGTTCAAGAAGCAGAGAGACGGCGACTGTGATCATCAGATGCATCTTCGGTGGCAGTATTAAAGTTTATTTCTACACCCTGTGCTTTGCACTCAATGTAATGTTTGTTTGTGTATTCAGTTTACATGGTTTTTGTGTTCTACAAAATTGTAATTACATTGTTTACCCTGTTTGCTTCAATAATACACATTTGTTCAATAAAAAGCCTGAGAATATAATATTATTTTCAGACTCCTTCGATAATGACCGATAATGTAACCGCTTCGGCCTTCAATGTAAACAATGACGTCACCGGTGGGGTTTTCCAACGGTGACATTTGGCGCGCTGCAAATGAAAAGTCCTTTCCACAGAGGAAGTGAAGCGCACCATAGAAGAGCCTGGAAAGGACATTGGAAAGTCTAGGAATTGCAACCCAAGGAATTGTTGTTGCGATAAGTTGTTTGACAGTACCAAATTCTAATCAAAACAAATAGTTAAAAATTATTCACGTTTGTTTCCCCATCAGCGGTTTCAATTACGCATGCAACACATAAAAATAAACACGGAAAAGTCCTCGATCATAATGCGTGGGCAATTGTTTTGTGCGTTTGGCTAATGCGCAGCAACTAGGGGCGCTTCGTTTAACACGGCCAAACCGGTCAGAACGATCAAATTATTGAATGAAACACAAAACATTTCGGCTTAGGACCTATATGACCGGAAAATTTTGATAACAGAATGAGGTCCATTTTCGCAAGATATTTGAGAAATATAGACCAGATCGTAGCCTCCTCCGCAGGCCTCTCTATGGGTTTTAGCCTGCGAATGGGTTTTGAAAAAAAAAATTTCTGGGAGAGAGGCCTGCCATAAATCGAACAAAATAGACGTATCTCAAATATTAGTGGCCGTGTTATTTTACCCCACCCCCTAAGTAGGCTTTTGACCCTAATTATATATTCAGTTTGAAATCTTCGGGCGAGGAGCGAAACTTGCAAGTATAAAAATCTTTAAAAATGTTTTATAATGCGTCGAAATATTCAAGTTATACGAAAATTAATTGGTCAATTGAAAGCATTATATCCTGAATTATATATCGCAATGTTCATCGCGGTATAAAAATCGATCGCTCAAAGCAGCCAAATGTTTTCAATTATTAATGTATAAATTGTTCAGCCGAGGAATTACAATTTCTGAATTTGAGGAAATTATCTGGCATAATTTCGAACGCAAAACGAAGAATGGAACGATAAGAAAGGTATAATTTGTTTAATAAAGGGATTATATTAAATTGTATTGTTTTCTGGAATATTTGTGTTGCCATTTTGATTTATATTTTACTATACTTTTTCAACAGTCAAATCATCAGGCATTTGGCAACATGCTCAGTGAAATGATGTATAAAAGGAAAAGATCTTTCTGTTGAAGCAACCATTTCAATATTAAAGTGACTGCAACTTGGAAATATAAACTAACTGTAGAATTTTTTTGGCATCTTATATAAAGCCTGCATTACCTGTATGCATTACCTGTATGCAAAGCCTGAATTACCTATATGCCTACCACATTATTATTTAATATGCCTGAGATTGATGCATACATTCTTTTGTGAATTATTTGGTTGAACTGGTAACCTGCCAACATACCACTTTATTTTTCACCCTGCTCGGTTTCCTTTGTTCTTAGCGGGGAATATATTCAATATTCCACTCTAATCAATTTCCGTTTAATAATCCCCTCTAATATTCACCTGCAGTTAATAATCCCCTCTAATATTCACCTGCAATGTCTTTGCAGCACAAAAAATGAAAAAAAAAACATAACGAAGGCAATATGGCATTAAGAATTATTTCTATTCTGACTCATTAACGCGACCTCGCAGTGTGAAAAATAAGTACGTTATTTTGAGGCACCTCGGGGATATGTGTTTATTCACCTCGGCGCTGCGCGCCTCGGTGAATAAATCACATATCCCCTCGTTGCCTCAAAATAACCTATACGTATTTGTGAACTAGGCTTCACTCAGGTGAATAGTTAAATTGATCTCCCCTCACCCCTTTAATGGCTTTAATATCATGTAAATATGCTAAACCTGGTGAAACAGGGTTGATAGGTTTGCTGAAAAATTAGGCCAAACACAGTCACACTAGGCCTTTTGTTTTCTTTGTTTTCTAAACGGCACTAAAGACGATTTGGCCTAATTATTCATCTAACCTACCAACCCTGTGGTGAAAAGCAGTTGGCATGTGACAACCTCTTTCTAATATAGTACTGTATATGCCTACTTGTGTTACACTTACTGACATCCATGATTTGATAAATACAGGAATTTGTGTGTCTGCATATAGTGCCGTAGCAAGCTTGATAATTGGGGAGGGGGGCTCATATTCATATACTCATGTTCTGCATTATTAATTTCTTCTGAAATCAATTGTTTTTATGGTCTGTGAACACGAATATATGAATATGAACCCCAATTATCGAGCTTGCTATGGCACTGGCATATTCTCTATTTATATGTATCTTCCTTCTTCATCCTCAAATAAAATTGCTCTTGACTTATATTGCTTTAAAATATAGTAACTCTTGATTGGCATGTATATCACATAAGACCCAATGCCCCTATACACACAACAAGCCCTCTTTGTCTCATCCCTGGCAGGGCCGTGCCTGCTTTTACTCTGTCTAACATCAGACAATTTTACTCTTCAGTGGGAGAGTGCAGACAATGAGTTAATCTAAAGCTTTCCCAAATGTATTCATTGTTGTAAACTTGTCACAGCTTACATTTAATATATAGGCACCATTGGAAGGCTATTACCAGGGTGGTTGCTGTGTAATATAACAATAGCAAAACACTAGCTATCACTGGGACGTTTCCTCAGTGACTGATTGTTACAGGGAAATCTGCCTTGCAAAATGGATTTTATCCATGCAAATATTTTGCCTGTGAACTTGGCAAGCAAAATGGAATGGAATGCCTCCATTGGTTAACAAATCCAAGCCAGATGTTATTAAGACAGGTCTTTATATTCTGTTGCACCACATAAACGGTCACTTGGAAATCTATTAGATTCTTATTAAATTCCAGTTGTCCTTTCCCTTATGTCTAGGCACATCACACCCATATATTAAAAGTTAAAACAGGGCTATTGATTTAATTAAGAAAGCGTTTGCTATTTAATAAATTTTTGCCACATCTGAGACACTCAAGTTTGAAAACTTTGTCCAAGGCCAAGGGATAAATTGAACAGTGTATTCCGCAATAAGAAAACTTTTATTAACGATTTTCCTTCCATACAAGCGTATTAAAACAATGTTACAAAACAAGAAGTATAAATAGTCTATTATCACAGTCACAGATATGTCAACAGTTGAATATATATTGACAATTTTCGCTCGTTCCTTTTCGTGTTATAGTTTCGACTAAATCACTGCACTTTCCGCTTATTATCATATAAAATGTAGTCGACAATTTGAGCAGAAATATCTATATATCAACGATAATCTTTCACTTAAAACCCTGTCTTGACATGAATCGACGGCAACGTGAGTATTTGACTGCTCTGGAAAATCACTCGTTGTCTCTAAATAATTCCACTAAATCGCCGTTTCGTGTGACGCTAACATTATCAGCTCCTTATTCAAAGTTTAAGGTTAAGATTAACGAATAATCCTGCTTTTTAACATTGTATATACACAGGGGTGTATATACAATGTTAAAAAGCAGGATTATTCGTTAATTTTACAGTTTTACTCGCCTTTTAAGCCATCGTGTTGAAAACAAAAATTTCTTCACTCCTTGCCGCAAGCCCTTCCTACTCCCCCTAAGTTTGAATTTGTCGAAATTTGCATGCGCGAGCCGGTATGCGCAGTGCAAATTTTTGTGTCGATTTATGGCAGGCATCTCACCAAACTTTTTCTCACCACCCGATTCCTCAGTGAGATGCCTGCGGAGGAGGCTAACGAGATCTTTCCATTGATATAGAGAAATGAATTCGGATCTGACCGCTCAGACCATTAAATGGGAAGCGCCCTAAGACTTAATGCAAGATCGAAAAACCTTTCATTGCCTTCAACGCTAAAATCCAAGCCGGCAGTTGAATTCAAACCCGCATTTTCATAACACGAGTCGAACTGTAGGATTTCTACAGTTTCCTCCCACGCAATGGTGCCTAAATTACTTTGAATTTGTACTCGAGTAAAAGTAGGAGTTATTAACAATAAAACGACTTGAGCAAGAGTAAGAAGTGTTGGAGGCAAAACGTACTTAAGTAAAAAGTACAACATATCCTTAATAAGGTGGTCTTATACAAAATTTTTTTTTTCCCTAAAAATGGTCCAAAACAAAAATCTAACTACACAGTGTTGTTGAAGGTGGTCACCCAACCATGAAAATATACTTCTTTAGTTAACTGTTTCCATAGTAACCAATATATGCCACGCCCAAAGGGAAAAAATGGGTCAATTTTCAAACATGATAACTAGGTGAGAATTAATGATAGAAGTCTAAAATAACTTTTATTGTGTTAGTTACAATAGTGTCCAGGGAATGAACTAGAATCATTGCCCTACTGCATATACAACAACTATTATCAGAATTTATCCTACCAAACACAAAAAATGCGGAAACATGCATCACTGAAACAGTGATAACTCCTTGAAAATGCAGCAGAACTCAATTATCCTAGTTCATTCCCTGGAGCATGATATGTACTAGCAACTCTGAAAATTTGATCAGGATACCTTTAATAGTTTTTGAGATATCATGCATGAAAATTGAGCAATCGGACCATTTTTACAAATTGAGAAAAACAGCTTTAAAGTTTACGGTTTAAGTTATTTCAGCAGTGGAACCTAATGCAAAGCAGTAAATGACAATTTTACTTTTTAAAACAATCCTGCCTTATAGGTGGTACCTTCCTGCTATTACTATCACCAAAATACTCTGTATATTGTAATTTGTGTGTCGCTTCACTACATTCAAAGATTCGCTTCACTCCCTCGGTGCTGAACCTGCATAGTTTGCCTTGTATTTTGCTATATGGTCAGCTTTACGCAATGCCTTTTTTCATCATCTGTCTCTCTATCAATCCTTTGGCAGGTATGACATGCCTTACACAAAATCTCGACATCAAGGCATTTACCCGTTTCCATTGAAATGGTAGTAACTTGACCATTTAATGATGAATATCCCCACCTTTGCCAAGTTCCGTCACAGTAAACATCGTACTGGAGAACTTTGTCATAGCTGTTATTGTCATCGTCTAACTCCTTACCAGCATTCCCCATCTTATCAGTAGCCACAGTCTTGGCTGCTTTCAACAAGGTATCATTATAAGCTGAATAAGCAGAAGGTTTCGGTGGTGGGGGAATATTCATTAGGGAACAGAAACGTCTCACAGAAGCTTCTCCTTGTCCAATGGCAATGCTTTCTCATTGCATAAACAAGTCTTCTGTTTACATAAAAAAAATGTCTGACTTTTTTATGTAAAAAGCTATAAACCCAGCCACATTTATCACAACACAACCGAAGATGAGTAGCACAACCTATTCTTTCCCAAGGATCATTTTTAAGACTAAGACTAGATTCTCCACATAACTTACAATGAGTTACAATGACACTTGCTGCAAAAGTTCATTTAGTTATTACACATCAATGAAACGATAAGCAGTTATTTTAGGCTCTTCATCTTTGGAACTGCTACTGGTAGCATCAAAGCTACAAGACTGACCTTTTTTCTCGCTGAAGCAGAGAGATTAGCAACCGACTCACTAGAAACTCACTGGTTGCTCAATACAGTCAACACAAGTTTTCTCTGCATCATTTACGTGCCGATTCCCATGGAATTTTCTCTTTCCCCTTTACGATCCTTCCCTTTACATTGTCAAAAGACGATTAGTCCATAAAGAGAAGTAAATTCGGCGAAAAATCACAAATACAGCGACCAAAAGTTATTAAAAAATTTCACTTTTTCGACACGAAATTATATGGCTTCGAATTTTGATTTGAAAAATAATGAAGACTGACCAGCGGTAGCAAAGCTAACATGGGAATACTTCAATACAGTATACTCGAAAGGGAGGTGTAAAAACTGATCTAAATATAAATTATTCAAGACCTAGAGGCTTTCAAAGAGGCAAACATCTGGTTGCTATGGGCGTTGCTAAGTGTAAATTTATAGAATTTGCTAAATTTTCAGGGGTTTTAGGTATTTTTGAGCAATAAAATGATACAAATATGATTAAGTAGGGTTTAAAGTTTGTATTTTTTCCATTTTTGAAAAATGGCAAATTTCACTCAAAACACCACTTTGCGTTGTGTAAGACCACCTTATTAATTAAAGACTGATTTGCATATACTGACTTGCACCAGTCGTGACCTGGTTACGGCACAAAATTGAAACAGGCTAATATTACCAGAGAGTTAAACCTAGTTAAATTAAAAAATTACTTGAAGTAAAAAGAAAATTAAAAGTACTATGGTCTGGCGGGGGAGGGACTTCTCCAATGGATGGGCATACAGAAGACACAAAACAGTACACGCATTATATGCGTACACCTAGTATACAATATATCACGGCATCGTCTACATTCCACACCCCGTTGAAGATATGAGAAATTATTTATTTAATGAACAAATAATGCTTATAAGTAAGCCACAAACGATAGAATCCAGAGGCATGTAGCGGTCCTATTAGTTGTCCCAAAATTGAAATAAATCAGAGATAAATGACGTAAAATTAAAACAAAAGCTAGAAAGTAACGAAATACTTCGCCACAAAATGAAAATAACGAAGTAAACGTTACTTCTTAAAACGACTTCGTTCCAAGTAAAAGTACTCCAGAAAAAGTTTACTTTGTTACATGTTGACTTCTCAAATATAGTACTCAAGTACAGTAACGAAATACATTTATACTTCGTTACTTGAGACTAGTGCTCCCACGCCCATTCGAAGAAGCCATCTACGCAAGCTAAATTAATATATCGGCTTCATCCTCACCCATTGAATGTTGTTTACACAA